GCCGTCGTCGTTGGCGACAGCGTCGCCGCCGCCGTCGCAGGATCCTGCAAGGAGCGGATGGGGAGGGAACCACGAGGAAGGGGAGGAGTCGGAGCAGACGGAGGAGGAAGAAGGAGAGGAGGAAGAATGAAGAAGGAGAGGATGAGGAGGGGGAGGAGGGGGAGGATGGGAATGACGAGGAAGAGGATGAGGAGAAGGATGAGGAGGAGGAGGAGGAGGAGGAGGAAGAGAGGGGCCAAGAAGGATAATCAGAAGCAGTTGAATGAGGTCAACAATGGGGATGCATGGTGACGAGGACGGGACGGGGAGACGCAGGAGATGGAACAGATGGAGATCAGGCAGGAGCAGGGGGGAGGAGAAGCACCACCAGCAGGAGCAGGAGAAGGAGGAGCAGCAGGAGGAGAGGCCACGAGAGAGTCTGGCGGGCGGGCCATTCCCAGCTAGATGCCGGGCGACTCGACGGGGCCACTTCCCGCGGCATGTCCCCGCGTGGGGCCCGCATGGGAGCACGAAAGCGAGGGACCTGGTGGAGGGACGACAGGAGGACTGGAGAACTGGGGAGGGAACAGAGGACCAGAGGACGGAGGGGGACTGGTCTGAACTGATCCTGCTCCTCGAGGTCCTCGTCTTCGGCATCGTCCCCGCTCGCCCCCTTCTGACCCTGGCTCTCGAGATGGCCTTCCTTGCCTGGCTCCAGCTCCTTCTCACCCCCTCTCAAACGCAGTCACCATGACGGCAGCAGTGTTTGAGCAAGGGCCGACCGCCCTGGCATCTTCATATGCCTACCAAGACATCTCCGTAGAACAGCGACATGCTCCAACAACGAGAAACCAGGATCTCAGAACATCCTGCACGCCCGACGTGTGAAATAGCAGGGCGATCTCGGCCAAAAAGAGATTATGAGACCGCCCCGTGCAGATTGCAACATGCTCTCGGAGCATCTCCTAGTGGGCCTACCGTTATGTCGGGCGTGTCCCCCTACAGGAGGATTTTCGATGGAAAATTAAAAATACCCCAGCAATGCAACAAAAAGGCAAAATAATATTCAAATTATTCCAGTGCGACCCTACCTGGGAGTTGGAGCCTCTGGGAAAGCAACATTAGTAGGAGCGGTAAACGCCGTCCTCCTCCTTCTCCTCATCGGAGTAGGTGTAGCAGCAGTAGTGGATGCTGTGCTGCCCTATGCTATGCTATGCTATGCTCTGCTCTGCTATGCTATGCTATGCTGCGCAATGAGAGGCTAGGCTAGGCTATGCTATGCTATACTCTGCTATGCTGCGCTATGCTATGCTGCGCTATGCTATGCTGCGCTGTGCTATGCAATGCTATGCTATGCTATGATTTTGATTTGCCTTCGCTTTTGCCTTCACTTTTGCCTTTGCTTTTGCTCTTGCTTGGCACCCAGGGAGCGCAACTGGGGGAACCGCACGTTTGCTTTTACCTTTGCTGTTGCTTTTGCTTGGCTCCCAGGGGACCGGACGAACCGCCCAGGGCGGTTTACACTGCCCGGCCCCTTTAAGCCAAGACAGTAACAACCCTTCTAGGCAGAGCCTAGGTAGGGAAGAATAGTCCCCAGACTATGTGTGGACTATTATTTGACTATTTTGGTTGTATTTTTCATGTTTCGTCGAGAATCCCCCTGTAGGGGGACAGGCCCGACTTCAGCCTACCGGCGAGCTGGGACGGTGCCCGAGGAGCCGCCCGCACACGGAGCCGCAGCAGCTTCCGCCCCGCGCCCCGAGCTGCCGATCGGCCGCCGCTCTCCGGGCCGCCCGCTCCAGACCCTGGCGGCGCGCCGATCGGGCCGGGCGGAGGGGGGGGGACAGCAAAGGGGGGGGTGTGAGAGCCAGCTCACCTAGCTGATTGTCCCGGCGCCTCGGGCGCCCAGGTATCGAGGAAGGGGCGTGGCGGCGCGGCCGAAGCCAGCTGCATGCAGCAGATGTCGTCCCCCCCCCCTTTCCCGATCCCCCCCTTTCGTTCGGCCCGAGCCTGGAGTGCGGGGCCCATGGCACGAGGATGCAGTCGGGGCGTTGACCTAAGGAACCCAAACAACTGTGAAGCAACTCAGGAACGCGGAGCCCCTCCCCAGCGAAAAGGGCTCCGTCCTCAGCGCTCCGCCTGTATGCACCCGCAACCTGGCAGGCGCGTGCCGCGGGGCTTCGGGGGATTCCTGCGGTCTTCTGACTGCCTTCTGACGGTCTTCGGCGGTTGCCGCCGTCTCCCGGCGATTCTCGACTCGAAAGCTGGACGGCTGCGGTTGACAAGTGGCTTCCGACGGTCTTCGGAGGCTTTCGCCGTGTCCCCGCGATTATCCCGGCTCGAAACCTGGACGGCTGCGGTTGACAAGGAGCCCACGCTCGAACACCCAACCAGAGCCACTGCGGACACGCTCCACAGCCAGAAGTCGGGCCGGGCGAAAGGGGGGGATAACAAAGGGGCGGGGTTCAGAATCAGCTCACGTAGCTGATTTTCCCGGCGCCTCCCGGCGCCGGAGGCGGCCATGCATCGAGGCATGGGCTCCTCGGCGGGGCCGAAACCGGCTGCATGCAGCAGATTTCGTACCCCCCCCTTTTCCCTATCTCCCCCTGTCGTCCGGCCCAGAGAAGGCCCGCCTCGCGGAAGGGCCCGCATCCAGGGCACCGGCAGTGCCGAGCGCGCGGGTGCCCTCCGGGCTGCGGGAGCCCACCTCGGCGGACCCCGTCGAGGAGGAGGAGGAGGAGGAGGACGAGGAGGAGGAGGAGGAGGACGAGGAGGAGGAGGAGGAGGAGGAGGAGGAGGAGGAGGAAGAGCAGCAGTAGGGGAGGAGGAGGAGGAGGAGGAGGAGGAGGAGGAGGAGGAGGAGGAGGAGGAGGAGGAGGGAGGAGGAGGAGGAGGAGGAGGAGGAGGAGGAGGGAGGAGCAGTAGGGGGAGGAGGAGGAGGAGCAGTAGGGGAGGAGGAGGAGGAGGAGGAGGAGGAGGAGGAGGAGGAGGAGGAGGAGGAGGAGGAGCAGGAGGAGCAGGAGGAGGAGGAGGAGCAGGAGAAGGAGGACAGGGCACCCGCAGTGCCGAGGCGCGGGTGCCCTCCGGGCTGCCGGAGAGCCCGCTCCGGCGGACCTCGCCGCGTGCCCGGGGCCCGACGTCGGCCGCGCACCGGGCCGCAGGGCCCACGGCCGGGCCGGGCCCCCAGGGTGGGGGAACCTGTGCGGCGCCCGGGCGCATGCTGATCAGCTTCGGGATGTGTTGCTTGATTTGTTTCATGGACAAATAAGAATGAGCATGAAATAACTGTTTTTTTTTTTGGGGGGGGGGGCGATGGCCTGGGCGAGGGAGGCGTGGAGGCGGCCGTCACGCGGAGGCGCCGGCAGCGACGCGCCAGAGCTGTGGAGGACGACGCTGGCGGCTCTGAGGAGTGGGGGTGTAAAGGGGAGGCTGTGCGCGGGGGCTGGCGCCGCACCGCGGCTCTGGTGGTGGGGCTAGCCACTCCATTCCATTCCAGTCCTGTCCATTGCGTTCCGTTCCAGTCCATTCCATTCCCATATAGTCGCCCTCCCAACAACGTCACAAATACCTCAGGGCATGCGGATAGTAGATGGGGGGGAACAACTGAGCCAGAGTGGCTACGAAGTGCCCCTCTGCTCCTGCTCCTGATCCTCCGCCACCTCCTCATCGGCCTCGACCTCTCGTCGCCATAGTCACCCCCTGCCCATCAATCTCGTCCGAGTCATTGATCTAGGCACCTGTCTTCCTCGTCATCATCCCTCGTTCTCCACCCTATTATGCCTGCTCTTCCTCCCCTCCCCTCATCCTTGTCCTCCTACTCCTCGTACTGCTTCTCCTCCTCCTCCTCCTCCTCCTCCTCCTTCTCCTCCCTCTTCTCCATACGCGCCCTCCGACTCCTGCCCTCCTCCCTCCCCTGCCCCCACTCCGTCCCTCCCTCCCACTCCCCTCCTGCTGGACGTGCTGCCTCCACAGGCATTCTGGCTCAGGGAAGCCGGGCGGGCCGCGGGAGTTTGGAGCCTGCTCAGGGCCGGCAGGAGAAAGGTGCGAGCGACATCCCGAGGCTGCTGCCGACGCCCGCCGATCAGCATTGGTAGCGCGGAGGAAGCTCACACCCAGAGACAGCAGAGGGAAGTTCTGAGAGTGGAGTGCTCAGGTGAGGCTCAACAATGGCGTCGGAGTCAGCAAGTAGTGGTCTTCGACACCGGACACTTACGGCGGAGACTCTGGACCCCAGGGAATACAAGAGACGGAGGCAGTGGGCTAAGGCACGGCTCCTCCGGAACAACATCCCGGCGGAGGACAAGGGCCCGTTGCTCTTCGCCTTCGGGGACGGCCTGGCGCAGGCCATGTTTGACGACATCGGGGTGGACAGAAAGCTGGCCGTTGAAGGAGGTGAGAAGCTGATATTGCAGAGGCTAGGCTTAAGTCGGGCGTGTCCCCCTACAGCGGGATTCTCGAGGAAAAATTAAAAATGTGCCAGACATAATCAAAAAATAATCCAAACTTAGTCTGGGGACTACTTTCAAAGATTCTTTGAACCTTTGGGGAATTTGGGGGGGCATGTTCCGTTTTTCGTCGAACATCCCCCCCTGTAGGGGGGACACGCCCGACTCGAGGCTGGACCAGAGGCACCCAGACACGGAGCCCGAGGGCGGACTCGCCGAGGCGCTCGACGCGAGCCGCGACCTCCAGTGGGAGAGGGCGACGAGGCCGCCGCGAACGGCGCGGGGCGCGCGCTCCTCGCGGCCTTCGCGCGTGCCCCGCGGGAGGGAGCCGCGCACGACCCCTCGAGGAGGCTCGGGGCCGCGCGCTGCTGCGAGGAGCCCGCCTCGAGGCCACCGCTCGCGCGGTGGT